AGAAGGAGAGCAAGCCAAGGACGGGCTCACGTTTGGGGCATGGGGGAGCGAGCGGCTGGTGGGGTGGGGGAAGCGGCAACCAGCCAAGAGCGAAGCGCCGACCTTGGGGCGTGCAGAGCTCTGTCTGCGCCCCGCTATCCCCTGAGGACCGGGGGCGAAGGAAGAGTGGTTGAAGATGGGAAGGTGACGTGGAGATGGAGGGAGGTGGAGGCTTTTCAAGCGCTGGCACCTTCCCGCTGTCGGGCTTTGGTGGGAGCGTCCTGCTGGCCAAGACGGCAGGTTTCTTCAGCAACCAGCATCGGCAGAGATCAGAGACATCCACGCTTGGGTATGGCTGTGCATTTCCCTAAGAAATCTGATGATTATTGTACTTGTCGCTTGTCATAGTGTCTTCTGGCGGCACTGCCAGACCTGGCTAGTTCTGTGTGTATGGTTTTACCCACTGCAATCTTTTAAAAAAAAACAACAAAAAAGTAAAACAGAAGAAAGAAAAATCCAACAAAAAACATTTTAAGTGACTTATAACAGATCCATCTTGAATAGTAATAAGAAAGCCTCCACTAAAAGATCCTTTACCTACATACAACCGAGCAGAGTTGTTACCCCCATATTGAGGCTTGTGTTCAAACTGTTTATCTCTGATTTAGCTTCCCTGTCTAGGAGATGGGACAAAGCCCTTCCTATCATGCGGGGGCTCAGTGACAGGTAGTGTCCTTAAACCACGTTGTGGAAGGAGCTGAGTGGTGAATCCGGTGACTACAACGCGTGGCGATGATAAGATGCCATCATTTTCTGGTGCTGCGCAGCGTTACAGTTGGTCTTCCATGCATCTTGCAATACTGCGTATACACTTCTAGAATAGCAGTTGAGGAGTGTTCATAGGAGGGTCGTCGCTATAACTCAGGCCGCTTATTTTAAAAACAATATATATCTGCTGTTGGACCATTGAGCTGTTGAGAAATACAGCGGTGAATGTGGTCTGCTTGGCTGGAAAAATGTAACATGCTATTACCGCAGAGCTTCAAGCATGGCCCCTGTGCCTTTCCCTGGCAGAATGTACATAAAAGCCAGCTTTTTAACCATGTACGCTTGTCTTCCTGGCTGCACAAAAAGTTAACCTAAAGAATGTAAAGGAGGTGCTTTGCCATCAGTTTGACCGCTTGGATAAATATAATCAAGTTAAAAAAAAGGTAGCTGGGAGTTTTGTATGAGGAGCGGGAGGCGTGCATGTGAAAGAGCCGTGCGATTTTAAAACCAGGTTGGTAGTCTCCAGAAGAAATGCAGGCAGAAATTTTGACCGTTTTTAGATTTGCCCAGGCTGTGGATAAAGTGTTTTAAATCAGGCTGCGTGGACTTCACATCTGCACGCAAGCAGCTTCAAGGAGTCTTTCAGCAGGGCACGTGCCTGCTCACACGTGCCCTTTGGACACCACTGGACTCGGGCCACCAAAGCCCCGGGGTCCCATCCTCAGTCTCCCTCCCTCCCACACACCACTGAAGAGCTGCCATCAGGCCTTAAAACACCTTTAAGCACCTTCTGTTAAGGGTACGTTATGATATACAGCTGCAGGGCAGAGTTGAAGCCCTGCGGAGGGACCATATCACACTGGATGGGACCAAAATTGGGAAAAAACTTGACAGCAAGCCGAGTGTTGAACCCGTGGGGTGAAATCAGTTGGCGCCAGGAAAGGCAGGGTTTGACTGGGACATTCATGCAGTTTTGTCTGTAAAATTTCTTTTCTGAATCACAGCTATTTTATGCTATGAAAATTTTATAAATTATATATAAATGCTTGGATTTATAAAGTATGTGCACAGGTATTTTTATCTTTTATAGCATTCACCTGCATGTGATTCATGCAATACATGCAAACTGTACTTGGTTCGAATTTTAAAATACACCTATTTTGCAAAATTTGGTGTTTCTCTGTTCATTTTGCGTCCTCTGTTGCTACTTATAAATGATTGACGTAAGGGGAATGAGTTGCAGTTTAAAAAGCCTCCCAAATTCAACCAGCCACCTCTCTTCCCAAGCTGGCCCGCTTGCGTCCCCTGGCCCCTGCTCAGTCCAGCTGCGAGGTTTGGCTCCTCCGGGCTCGGCAGCAACATCCTGCTTTTTTTAAAACATAAAAAAAGATGACTGATCTACTCACAACTATTTGTTACGTCCTTTGCAAATGGAAACACGTGAGTTGCTGTGTCGTCAGTGACGGGGGACACTTGGGCATCTGGAATCTTTTTCACCTGCAATATCTATCGCTAATAGGCTAAACAGTTAATTGGAAGCCCAATTTGATTTTAAATGAATATATGCAATTACAGCATGAAATCCCGTAGACTGCAGAATATTTCAAGTTCATTGAGGAGCCTAACTAGATTTTGTTGTCAAGGATGTGTATTTGAAACGGAGTAGGGCCGTGTCCTCCCCTCAGCATCACGTCCTGGCTGGAAGTGGTGTGCCCATGGACCCCCAAGGGCCCACAGCTGATTGGGGTGAGCCCCGATTGCTGCAGCATCGCTGGGCTGGCTGGGGCCAGGCAAGGCTTTCAGCCGGGCTGCATGCTGAGGCTGTGCTCGTGGGCTGCTCACAGGACCGCAGCCATTCCTGCAGGGCCAGGCTTGAAGAGGCAAGTCCTCTGACAAGGTAAGACATGACACCCTTCCTGTATTTCACTAAGCTGAAGCACCAGGTCCTCGCTGCAATCCTGCGTGTGTCTTTGCTGTCTTTGGAAATGCTCCCCACCTCTTCGTCCCTGCAGTTCAGGTGCCTCCGCTTCTCCAGTATGGTGGTAGGAGGTGAGGTTTTGCGGCCGGTTTGCTGGTCATGTTCTGTACTCGGTACCACAAAGGCATCAGCTGAATCCTCTTGAGTAGGCATGCTCGGTTTTTAGAGTAAAACACTGCTCTTGATGTGAACGGGAGATAACTTCCAGATAAGGAGCATCAGCCTTGGAGCCTGGGCTGTTGACTTCTCCTCAGTGCTGTCCTGTACGTCCGGTCCAGCGCTACAGCTCTCCGTCCCACAGCCTTCTTCGGCTGGAGGGGTGGTGCCAAGACAATCTCTTTCTTAATTTCCTTCGTTACGCTGTCAAGAGGGATGTAGCAGGCATCTCACCCTTAGCTTAGTCCGCTCTGTCCTGCCTCGAGGCTGCCTCCTTCTGCCGTGCTCGCTCTGCAAACCGCGTTCCAGGCGCGCGGTGCCGATCCAGGCTTCCCTCTGTGGCAGGGCATCTCTGTGTGCCCGTTCCCCAGCGCAGAACCAGCTACTCAAGGCAGCGGCCAAATGTTATCGCAGCCCTCGGCAGGGGTTAAAAACCAAAGCAGCAAGCAGTGAATTTGCCTGGTTTAATTTTCCAGCAGTAACTTTGTCATGGCCCCAGTCTCCTCATCCTTCCAAGCTTCTGGGTAAAACTGCAAGCAGGCTTGCAGTTTGCTCCTCTGGATACGGGTGATTTGATTTAGGGGATGGAAAAAAAGAAAATAGTCTCAGTTTCAGTTTTAACCTTTCTACTGCCTGCTGCAAGTAGAAGTTAGGAAATACGGGTACATCTCTGAACAGGGTGGAAGCGTGGCTCTAGCAGCGGGTGGGATCTTGCACGTTTGCTAAAACGTGTAAAGCACGACCCTCGTTTGCTGCCACCGAGCTC